TTAATTAATTAATTTATTTATTTATTTGAGTAATACAGCAACTCACCTGATAATTGCATACCTGTTAGTATAACATCAATTTGACTCTTTCAGGGACTATGGTCACCTTCTGAACCTTGTTGAGCTGGTGACAAAGTCTTTTCTTTTTTCCAAAAATGGTTGGGATACATCATTCCACATAATTATAAACTTCTCAAGAGCAAGATAGTGAATGCCATTGCTGCCTTTGTGAATTGATGACAAATTTGCTTCAGCTCCCTTAAAGAGAAGGCACTCACTAACTTTAGGAGGGACTTTTGGAGTATATGATCTTGAAGGATTCTTTTTGGCTTCTTAATGCTTTTATTTTACTAAGAATAAAATGCTGTTGGTATAAATACATATTTGAGAATCACTGCGGAAGAAAGAATTCAGTATTGAAAGGTGCTCTAACATTGCTACAATTTTCTTCTTCTTGTTTACTTTAGGCAATCAGACATTATTGGGAAAAGTTTTTTTCAAACAATTTCCTTGATTTCTCCATCATTTATTTTTGTAGTACTGGAAGCTTTTGTAGCTATGGATGACTTAATCTTAGTCCATACATGCTAAAAATAGCTTGGAGGTGTTTGACCCTTCCTAGCTGTGTGCCTGTCTATAAGAACAGAGCTTTAATATCTGTATCCTCAGATACAATTCATTTTCCTCCCTCTCTCCTTATGATCACTACTTAACTGTCACTCTTACCTTGACCTAATAAGAAATATGTGTTTTCTAAGTCAACAGATTTTTATTTGTGCCCTATAAATTCTCTCCACTATTCCCATTCTTGAGGAATAATTCAGACTCTTTAATTAAAGGATGTTGAAGAGAGTGACAAGAATGGTGAAAGTATATTGTCCACACAAAGAAAAATTAATAAAAGAAGCTAAAGAAGTCGAACCTAGGGAAGTAAAGGTCCAGCAGAATTATGGTAACTGTCATCAAACTTTTAAAGGACTGCTTTGGGGAAGAGAGATTAAAAGTGCAAAACTGGGGTCAAGGGGAAGACAAACAGTGAAATAGGAATGATTTCTAATAGTTACATTTTTTCAAAGGTAGAATTGGCTTCCCTGAAAGAGAATGTGAGCCAGTATAAGCTGATAGACCACTTGGGAATATGTTATGCTATAGTTTAATTGTACAACATTTAAGTTACTTTTAAGCCTGAGAAGCTATTTCTATCCTTTCATTTGTACAATATTTCTCCTTCATTGAATGAATACATGGTTAGAGAAAGAAACAATCATATTGCTAGCTGCTGCTTATCTTTCCTGCTACGTCCCCCCAAAGTAGACAATTTTAATATTGTAGTTACCTTGACAACAGAGGTTTCTGTTTTAATAGCTTTCAGTAACATTATTCAAAGGAAATCTTTTGCCCAATAAAGTGAGGGGAATAGTCTTCAACATTCTCTTTCTATTTCAACCTCAAGGAGTCTAGAAGTAAACATGTACCTTGAAACTAAATTCATTGTAAATTTCCTTAGTAAGAGAACATCAGTGTATTCGTTCCAAAAACTAGAAAGTTTTCACTTAGCATAATATAAAAAAAAGTTTATCTCTTGTAATAGACATGAAAAATTTCACCAACTAAAAGGCATGACTCAAATTTTACAATTATCCTTAATTTCAAACAATTCATATATGTATTTATATATACTTTAACCCTGTGTGAAAGGTTTTGGGGCTGCTGTGGAATCAGATTTAGTGCAGCAGATGTTCCACTCAACCACAACCTATCATACTTGAATTATTGTTAATAAATAGTAATTGAATAATAATTCATTAATGAACAATTAATGAATTATTATTAATCATGGAAGGATCTTACACATGTAAAAGTTATCCAAGGCAGAAATAAAAGTCAAGAAGTACTGAGATGGGGAATCCATCAGATATAATTATTATACTAAAGGAATAACTTTCCAATAAGGAAAAAAATCTTGAACTTAAAACAATTAAAGTTATTTTTAATTGATTTGCCTCTTTCTAATAACAATAAATAACATTTAATTAAATACTTCCTGTGTACAGGCTTTGTGCCAAACTCTTCACATTTCTTGTCTTCTTTCATCCTTAAAACACACTGAAGAGTTGATACTATTATTTTCCTCATTCCATGTATCAGGAAATTGAAGCATAGGAAAGTTAGATACCATGCCCTAGGTTATATAGTTGGTATTAAAGCAGAGTAATAAATCCAAATTCGACTTTAGAGTCTGAGCTAGTCACCCATCCACTGTGTTAGCTGCCTTCATGGCTCGAATACTAATGTGATTATTTTATTTAAGGTAAATTTGTGCAGAAAAACAAATTTTAATTTTTTTTGGTTCCAAATTATTTTCCTCCTATTATAGGTTTCAGTTGACCACTCAAGCTTAGAAGGTTATACTCACCCCGTTTGTGAAGGAGAATGCTGGCATGCCGACGTCCATTTCCATTTTCAACATAACAAGAGTAATTTCCCAAGTCACCTTCTTGTACAGAGTCTACAATTAATGAGATGGAAACTTCCTGTTCCCCAAGATGCTCCTTGAGAATTCTAAAATATAAAGCAAAACGAAACAAAAAACCCCACACAAACATACACATACATGAAAAAGAAAAAAAAATAGAAGAATCTGAATCTGACGTGAAAATACCTACAGTATTTGTGCTTCAAATTTGGCTTTGGATTGATGCTATCTTAATTAAATTATATCTTGCCCTCTTACTTCTAATGAATAAGTTTGTCTTTGTAGATGCTAATGAAGTTGCAGTTAATTATCTCTCTTAGCAGAACAATCACACTGTCCTAATAAAGAGGTGAGAGAGACCTTGAAGAGAAGTTTACAAATTGCTTTCCCTTTAAGAAGACAGAGGATGTAAAAGTGAGATAAGAAATTCTAATCTCTTAATCTGGAGAACTAATTATATATCAAGTTAATAAAAAAAAGGAAGAATAAAACATTTCTGAGTTATTTTGATATTTCAGTTGAAATCTCCAGCCTGGCTTTTTTTTTTTTTTTAATAATACAAATCAATTGCCTATTTTTAGAGAAATTTGAAATTATAAACCTGTAGACTAAGCGTTCCGATGAGTGTTTAATTTTGACATTTAAAGTTAATGGTAAACACTCACTAGTCTCATTGTCAAAGATTTTAACAATCTTTCAGAGCAAATAGAAATCTTCAAGGTAAAGCTCCCTTTCCCTGTTTGAAAAGTTTCCACTTCTACTCTCTCACTTGTTTGTTAACTCATCTCTGCACAACACTTCTTAATACAGAATTAAAGAAAAATATCTTTCTAGAAGCTTCCCTGAGCACCCACAAAATGAGAGAGGGGAAAAGTTAGGAGATTTATTGTCCTTCCTTAACTTTAACATTTCAAAATGTATGAGTAAAAGATAATAGTGAAGTTGTAAACATGAAAAATGGCAGAGGAACATTTTAGTACATACTGGAGATTGCCCATCTGAGCATTTCAGAACCCAATTGGAGTTTAAGATTCTTGTGTATTTGTTGCTAGAGAGAAAAAGGTCCTAGTAGAAATAACCTTATATGACAGTTTTATATGTTTTTATATTCTAATGAAATCTTTTTCTCTTATATATTTGATCAAGTTTTAAAAGTTCTCACATTTAAAAGTGTCCTCCCCCAAGAAGAGAAACCTTGGTTAAAATGCTCATACACACCCAGATGTGACCTTTAGATGAGAGAATGTTTACAAATGATCAGTATTTTGATTCAGTTATAACAATTATATTAATATACTTGCTTATTTACACTATGATTAAAAATGAGTATCTATGCCCAAGTGAAATTTTAGTCATAGTTGAATAACTCAATACTTAAAAGTAAATGAACGAATTAACAAATTGTTTTTTAAAAAAGAGGCTGAAGCAGTATACCCTCAAATCTACGGTATTTTCAATGGTTGTTCTCTATCATTATCACTATATTACTATTTAGACTTTATAGTCAAACTAAAAAAGATAATGAAAACATTTTGTGTATCCTTTATCATTCATATCAAGTGCGTTATAGTCTACTTGATTCCTCAAATATGAAAAAATATAAAAGGAAATGACAGATTGTGTTGGGTTGAGTCCTGGTACCTTGTTACTATTTCCTCTTAAAGATTAAAAACAAAGAGCTCTTACAAACAAAAGGCACAATATCCTATTTTCCATATTTGATGGTATTTTGGTCTGCCTCATACTCAGTACATTCCTCAATGAAAATTTCCTTTTTATTTCCTTAAATTTTTTGCAAATGGCATTCATGTTTTGCAACTTCATAGCCAGTCAGTGTTTTTTCTCTTTGCAATATTTTTTTATAAATGTAAAACAAAACAAAAATCCTTTTCTTTTAGCTTTCTATTTACTAACAGGGCAAATGTTAATCTTGACTATACAAGTTAAAAGAAAAAGAATATTTTACCTAATGTCACTTTCCCAAACTCGATTTTCATCCAGATCCTCAATAAATTTTTCTCCTTTCATCCAGTAAATTAAAGGACTGACATCACCACTGTACCCAAAGAAAGCTCTGCAGGTTAGATTAGCTGAGTCACCTGTGGAGAAAAGTGATAGCAATATGTTATAAAACTATTTGTATGCTCTTATTTTAGGCAAACTGGCAGGTAAGATTTTAGTCACTTCATTAACATAATATTTTTCTAAAATAACATTTTTCAGGTATTTTCAATCTTTGCCAAATTTATAAAATATGTGCTTCTGACAGCTTTAGTGAAATGAGAGTTACCTAAGAGATTTTGAAGAAGACTGGTCAGTTGTTTTATAGAAGGTTCTTCCATTTAGATTTGCCTGATGTTTTCACATGATTAGATTAGGCTATAAATTTTTGGGAAAGGTACTACAGAGTGATATGCCCTTCTCAAAACATGATATCAGAGAGTACATAATGTTGATAATTATAAGATTTTATAAGGCAGTTGGAAGGCGGTTGGAAGATGTTTCTCTGTCTTGAGTATGGAAACAAAATCTTTGGATGGAAAAGGAAATGAACTGTAAATCCAGGCTCCCCCCCAAAAATTATTAAATATTTTTACTATATAAGGAATAATAATTGAATTAAGAAAACCTATACATGCTCAGGAAGAAAAAGCACATTAAAAACAAGTCATGAGAATAATATTAGGGATTTTTATTAGATGTAAAATCAATGATACTATTGTGGAGATTACTTTCTTTCAGTATTCACCTCAGGAGAGACAACTCTAATGATGATTACAGACTGGCTGATTACTTAATAAGGTAAGTGGAGGTCCCTGACTGTAGGGTGGAAGTGCATCTAATGCCTGCAGAAAGTAAGGTTTATTTTTGGACAGGTTATGTCATTTTGAAAACACCTAGTTTACCCCAGCCTCAGCACCATTAGCTAACTGAAATAGTCTAGTATATACTAGTTTTAAAATCTTGCTGCTTCCAAGTAGAACTAGAAAATGGGGGGTGAGGTAGCGACTTGTAAAGGCCCACTCCACTTGGATTGGGGCAAGGGAACTCTCAGGGATGAACACTATATGAGGAAATGAAAACTAGGCCTTGGTGACACATTTGTTAGCATCCAAAGTAAGCAAACTTTCTTAATTTATAACCTCCCGGGAGGATTCTAGAGGATCTGACAACTCTATGACTTTAAGGTACAAAGAAGGCCATGCCTGAAGACTGGAAGTCTCAGAGCCAAGACATGAGTTAATAGTGAACATTTGAAATTGTGCTTATGAGTGATTTTACAATATAAACCCAGAGAAAAGCATAATGAGCTTAGATGCACTTTTTCTAAGCCCTGCCATGGGTATACCTACATATGAACTCTATTCTGCGAGTTCCACGACAAGATAATTTTTACTGTATAAAATCAATATTATCTCAATTATACCCACTGTGTAAGAACAGTTCATAAATAAATTTTGTTCTTCAAATACTTCTAAGATGGCATGATATAACCTTCTCCTTGTATCTTATCTTTATGTCTGAATGTTCTCCAAGTAAGTGACTTCTCATGAACTTTGATTCTATATATGATAGTTATCATTAGACCAGATAACACAAGTCCTGAAAATGTCTACAAGCTTTTAAGAAGCAAAATGGAGCTCCAAGTAGGTTCATTATTAATTTTTGTACATAAACATTTTCTAAATATTCTAATGTGGAATCCCCCTTCCTTTGGAGAATATTTACAGTACAAAATGGATAACTAATTGTTAATCTTATTGATTGGAAATCAACTGCAGATTTCTATGGGAAGTATCAATCCAATGTTACAAAACAATTTTAAATCCAATATTCTTTGCTTATACATTTTTATAAGAGTACTAGCTTTAATGCAACTGCATTACTTATTATAATGTTAAGATACTCATGAATTCAACAGTAAACCTCAAAATACTACATGGTGTGATGATTAGCATCCTATGGCAACAGAATAAACATACATTAGAGTGTTATAAATTTTAATGTCAATAATTTACAAAATCTGTCTTTTAAGGGATCAAGTTTTCTTTTTCAGGTGGAAGTTAATGACTGGAACTCATAAACAGAAATCTCTAGAAATTGCCTAATTTTCCATTACAGTTTTACTAAATATGGGGGCTTATGAATAATATCATGCCATTTCCAACTCAGTCTGACACTCTTCAGTAGAGAAGTCAATTTAATCTCTCATGGGGACCTGAATTTCTCTCCTGCCACAATCCTACCTTCCCAGATCAAGTGATTTTCCATTACCTAATTCTTCATTTCTTTCACCTGCTGGCCTTGTGTTGCCACACCTAGGAAATGGCTCCTGCACCCATGTAAGAAATGATTTGCTTTGCCAGCTATCTTTGCTCACCTGGGCTTTGACTATCTACCTTGCCATGAGCTCCAGCACTGAGTATTTGCAGTGTTATGGGGGTACCTAGTGGAACTCTATCCAGACTTGGATTGAGCTTCCTGTGGGTCAGAGACTAAAATTCATGGAAGGAATTAAAAGAAAGTGGAGGGAAAAATAGAATAGCACCCCAGGAACAGAGGAAAGAGCATGAGAGAATGCCAGAGAACTTTGGAGGAAGTAAATAATTTCAGAGTGGCTGAAGCTAAAGTGTACTTGCAGTGTGGGGATGGGAGAGGTTTAGGGAAGAATAGAGCACTGATGAGGCCAGAGCAGTGGCAGCCCTCTCCTTCTATGTAGGCCATGTTGAAGATTTCAGACTTCGTTTAACTGCAATGTTAAGCAGGTTTCAAGGAGACTGACATGATTATGTCTGCATTTAAAAAAAAATCACTTACTGTACTTGCAAAACTTGGATTAGATCAGAGAGAATCAAGATGGCTTGAAAATGTTACAATATTTTGGAATCATATAAGGAATAGTCATTGCAAAGATCAGATTATTTCCACATTATTTCTTAGTAGGATAAACCATAGATGATAGTAGTGACTACAGATCAATATGCTTTTAATCATTGTGATAATGAGGAGTGTTTCAAAGCAGAAATTAAATAGAAAGCCTGATAAATTAGAAAATATATTTATAGTTTACATCCATGTGTGTGTATAGTAGAGGAGAGAGGGAGAGAGAGACAGAGAGAGAGATTGGGGAGTTGCTAGCTGCTTCTCAATACTTTCAGGATAGAAAATCAACTTGAGAAGAGCTCTGTTCTGTGAAGAGACTTGTGAGTAGTTTCTCTTAATTATGTCTATTTGTGTGACTGAGCAAAAGGCACCACTACTTATGCATAGGTCTGCTAGCAAGAAAGGACACTAGGAGCCCATAGGGGTCAATCCTAAGAGAAGGCCAGGTGAAGTCAGGCTCATACCTGAAAATACCCAACTGCTTAAGTGTTCAGGAAGAAAGTTGTGTCTACTCAGTACTTTTAATTTGGGAAATAGTGGCTAATCATATGAGTGTCAGAGAGCTGTGATCTTGGACTCAAAGTATGTAATGCCTGTGTTTGAAAGCAGGAATAAAGAACTATCATCCCTTCCCCTCAGGTTGAATAAGAACCAGGAACTGATAGAAATTCATGGGGCAGGGTGAGGCCTTTGGAGAGATGATGCAAATAAGGACCAAGAGAGATTAATATGGATAAATAGGAAAATTTGAAAAATAGAATTTGGAAATTTTATTTAAGTTCATTAGACAATTAGGAAATAGGAATTAGGAAAATAAAAATGAAGTGACTGTGTTTGTACCTTGGGCTAATGAAGCAGGGCATGCCAGTTATGTTTTTTTTTTTAATTTAGTTTTTAGTTAAAAATTATTGGGGTGACATTGGTTAACAAAGTCAAATAAGTTTCAAGTGTATTGTTCAACAGACAGTCATATATATATTGCATTGTGTGTTCACCACCCAGAGTTAGATTTCCTTCTGTCACCAAATAGTTGACTCCTTTTACTCCATCTACTTGCTCCCCCACTTCCCTCTGGTAACCACTAATCCATTGTCCATGTCCGTGAATCTGTTTGTTTGTCATGTTTGTGGCATTCAGTTTTATATCCCACATGAGTGATTTTAGCATCTGAGTTTTAGGAGTAGTCTATCTATGATTTATTTCATATTCTCATGCTTTTCAATTGTATATTATTTGCTTTACATTCTTCTCATTGCCACCTAATATATTGCTCCTCATCCATTAAGTCCCAACACTAATAGGAACTCTTCTAAAAGACTGACTTGGCTTTTCTAGGAATAAATAATCAGTCACTCTGTCTTCTCTTCTCATAGCCCTTGGAACATATCCGTATTTTATCATAATATATTCCTTACAATATTTGGTGTGTTTGCATGTCTGACCCAGCAACTAGAGCATTCATTCTCCAAAGGCAGACATTATTTACCTTTGTTTATTATCAGGATCCATTACGATGTCTTGAATATATTAGGAACTTAATAAATAATTTCAAATTAATTAATAACCTGCTTAATATATCTTGAACTTGCTTTCTTTGCTTCATTTTATGAAGCTTCATTAATTAAAGGTTACATGTCTAGAGTCTATCTCAACAGGTCAAGTCTACCTTGTAAGTAGCCTTCAATGTTGCATATGCATAGTCTCATCATTCAGATATGATTTCACTTGTGGGCTGGAGGCAGTTCATACCAGCTATTGAGAGTCAATTACTACATTTTCAGAAATTCTGCAAGCAGGTTGTTAAACACAGTCATTATTTAAAATTAAATTACAAAGAATGCAACTAGACTGTTGTCTATCACCGCACACCAAAATTAACTCAAAATGGATTAAGGACCTGAATATAAGACCTGAAACAATAAAATTCATAGAAGAAAACATAGGAACTAAGCTCAAGGACCTTAGTCTTAAAGAGGATTTTATGAATTTGACCTCAAAGGCAAGGGAAGGAAAAGCTAAAATAAATGAATGAGACTACATCAAACTAAAAATCTTCTGTTCAGCAAAAGAAATCATCAACAAGGTAAAGAGACAACCATCTGAATGGGAAAATATATTTGCAAGCAACACCTCCAATAAGGGCCTAATATCCGATATATACAAAGAACTCATATGACTCAATAACAACAAATGATCTAATCAAAAAATGGGCAGA